ACCGGGAATTGAACCCGGGACCCCAGGATTACAAGGCTAGTGTTCTTACCGCTAGACCACCGTGATATATTACAATATACTTTATTTTTCCACCAAATATTTTTGGACTTACACTTTTACTGGGTCAATCAAGAACTTCCGTGCCACTGCAATAATAAAAGCCAAAAGTACTTTAAGAATTTTACTTGCGGATGTCTGTACACAGAACATTATTGTTATATTGTCAGGAAATAAAATAAGAAAACTAAGTACCTGCTATGATGTAAGTGAAATTGGGTTTGCAGAAGTATTGTGGATAGGCCTGCATGAGTAGTGGTACAGGCACAACTAATTTTCTGTCTTCCTCTGCTCGAATTTGCACCAACACTTTACCTATATGTTTCCCAGCTGACATGTATCTGCAACATGTACCTAAGACGTCAATGCGATCTTAAGAAATGCTAATATGATATATGACACATCCCTGTTCTTATAAAATTTCTGAAAATGAGTTTAAAAGCACGTTTTATTATACACGCATATGTTGGATATAGCTCATTGTGTGAGGTATATCTGATACATGTAGTGCTTCCAGAGTTGGCTGTACATCCAACGTCAGCCGACTTGTTGTCATTATATTGACAGATTTATTCTATTATACTTATATTTTAAGATTCGTGGTGATCACTGGAATGGAACTCAAAACCTTATAAATTCTGGGCTAGTATCCTAACCAAATGACCACTAATATTAAGATGAAAAACAATGAAGAAATCTGTGTACGATTTCAGGTTTTCACAGCGGTGAGTCTGAAGATTCCCGTCTTCTGAGGCACTGCGCCATGTAGTCTGGTAGATTTCCTGGAAACTGGAACTGTTTAATCTGCTGATGATCAAACAATCATGGCAAAATAAGAATTTTACTTATAAATTATGTGACTTAATTAAAGAAAATACTATCTTGAAATGTCAACACATCAATAGAAGTCCAATGACTTCCAAGAGAGAAAAATATTATAATTAAAAGAAATTACAGAATTAAATAACAGAAAAGTCAAAGTATTTAACTGTTTATGATACCTGATATCACATATAAGAAATGGAGATAACCATATAAAAACTAACTCTGTAGAGCAGAATCCTCTTTGAGAAGCTGATAGAATGCTCAGCTAGGTAAGAAATTCCCATTCTCACAAGCTCTCTGTTACAAGCTTGTCTCAATATGAAAATGGTTACCTGAAAGCCTGCTCCACCTGACTGTCAGAAAACACAGTCCGGGGCAGCGGTCGTACAGTCCCTGAAGCTACACCTTCGGTCATGATGTGATGCAGATTTTTCTTAAGCTCAGGGGATGAAAGAAATTGTTTATCCAAAGTGACTCCAAAGAAGCTTGTTTCCTTCAGGAACACTTCCATGCCTACATGTCAGATACACTCTCAGACAAATTGGCTCACAAAGACAAGAAAGAGTACATGACATGCAAAAGTAGACAAAGTGTAAGCAGAAGCAGTGACTGGAAACATACATGTCAGTACCAAGTTGTAATAAATGATGGTGATACATTTTTAAACTTGTTTCACATTAGATAAATCTTTAAATTGGACAAGAAATTACATGTTTCTTGCATGACAGTAACAGTAACTGGCATGCCCGTGTTTTGACTTCAAAATTTGGTAACAGATGCTTTCTGTAGGATTTGAGACTTTCGCAGCGAGTACGATCAATAAAATCTTCTCGGGCAATCAGTGGCGTCAACTCTGTCTCAATCATCCCCGATCATGGGGACAGAGTTGGTTCGCGAAACCTTGGTTTACTACAGTAACCAGTTGACGCGGCTGTGTGCCCCAGAAGATTTTATTGGTTAGATGCTTTCTGGTTTATGAAACAAGGTTCCTATATATGATGTACTATTTATTCATGCTGTCTGGAGGAAAAATCTGTGAGTATGAAATATTTCGATCATTTTGTGTTTCTCTTATGAATATGACAAATTATAATGGAAACTGGTTAATAACGTCAGTCATACCAATAGTGTTGTTGCTGGTAAGGTCAAATTTTCCAATCTCCAAGAATCGTCCTCGAGGGGCAAGGCAGCGTACTGAGGCCTGCAGCTTCTCTTCAGAAAGAGAGTTGAGAACGAGGTCTACCCCTTTTCCATTTGTCTGTGACATGATAAGTTGCTCAAAAGAAGTGTCTCGAGAGCTGCCAATGTTATGGTCCATCAACTGGGTGAGAAGAGAAGAGGGAATGTTGACAAATTTCACAGTTTGATAAGGAAGAGCATCTTCATAATGTCATAGGAAGACATCTCTAGAATGTTCATATTGAAGCATTCCAGTTCTTATTACTATTCAGCCGCTCGCCAATCCCCAACTTCCCTCCATTTTCTACTTCCAATCCTTCCCTGTGTTTCTTTTACTTTCTTCATTCTCTTACCTTCATTTTAGGAAACAATTAAGGAAATAAACAGCAATTATCGCTAACCACCCAAAATCTGTACAATAATTTCATTTATTAAGGTGTAAAATCTCCCCTGCATATTTAAAACAGAATAAGATTGCTTTAAGTAGTCAAAATGGCTGTTAAAATACCTGTGGAAACTGCTTTTTGATAAAGGCACGTTTCTCCTCTGTACCGACAGTGGTAAACACCGTGCAACCTGCGTGCAGACAAATTTTGATGGCTGCCTGGCCTACGCCCCCACTGCCTGAGTGGATCAGCACCGACTCACCCTTTTTCATGTTTCATGTGACCAATCATCTCAAAGCGCATAGTAAGCCTGTCAACAGCAAAACAAAGCATCAAATTCTTATTCTTCTATTAAATTTGCTTGGTAAATGTAGAACATGTAAAGCGATGCTTCGGACAAGCATCACATTATAAAGATAAATATGCAGATTAGAGGATAAGTTCCGCTGTTTCATGGCATGGGATCTAGATCAGGGGCAGATAATTATTTTAGCCTGAGAAAAAGATGAGTCTGCTTTGGAATGAGAGGGCTGGAAAATCTAACAAAGGATTCTGCAGTAGAGAAACTGTTAAATAACTATCAGCTATATGCACTGACCAAATATGTTACGTTCACACACGCGTACGCACACACCACACACATCACACAAGAACTGTGTTATTAAGAATTAATTAAACTATATGTAGAGTGGGCCTCATCTGACATTCTCAAACCCAAATGCATGTATTAATAAATTAAAACCTAACTACTACATATCAGTGGATTTAGCACAACATTTTAATATTTTTATGTTAAAACTTTGTCATTCGTGAAACCCAATAACTATTTCAAATTTTACTCACCTGTATTCTTTTTACTTATGACTTATTCCACATCCCGTGACTAATCTCTTGGTTCCATTGAATGTATATATGTATGTATATACAGTAAATATGTATATAGGGACCCAAAACTTTAAATTCTCAACCAATGATTTATATTGTCACTAAATTTGAGCCATCTTGAATAAATATGTTCTGAGGAAAAAAATGTGGGGCATTACTTAATGAGCGACCCTCGTAGATAGCTCACAAGCACATTTCACAATTTTAATTTAAGTTCATGGCAACTCACAGTTCCATACGCCAAAGGCACAGTTGCAGCATCCTCGAGTGTCCAGTGCTCAGGCACATTCCACATCAAGTCTGTGTCTGCCAACACCATGGAGGCAAGGGCTCCAGAAGGAATTATGCCCATGACTCGTTGCCCTTTCTGGTCACGTCCTGAGAACTCCATGCCTTCAAAACAGCCCTAGAAACATGCAAATTCCTCGATATCAGCTTCAGAGTTTTGAAATGTAATTGAAATTTGTTTGTCTGGAACAATATAATGCTGTGCTATACATAACATAACAGATATAATACATTATGTACAGTGGAGGCATATATTCCAAGAAAATACTGCAATGAGCATCAACATTTTATATTAAGTGAATCATTTTACATCAAAACACAGCACGTTTTCTGGTTTTGAGTGGAAGGGACTGCAAGTAGTTGTGGAGGTTACCTGCAACACTGTTGAGTAAAAAGTCCTTGACACCTGACCAGAGGTAGTCTTCCAGCCTCGTGAAGGGTATGAGGTTAAGAACCATTCACCATAAAAGTACTTTGTTGCTTAACTAATAACAAATTCTACAGTGTGTGTGTGTGTATGGGTACAGCTGGCTCAGAAAATGATCCAGTATTAGCTGAGTGTGTTTGGAGAGTTTGTTCCTATATATTCATCCGACCCATTGATTAGTGGTATCATATTAAGAAAAATGAGACTTAACTGCTTTACATAATGAATAAACAGTCCTTCATAGTGACAACAGCTTCGCTAAATCTTATAGGAGGAATCATTGTTGAATCAAACATCTGTATGTCTATGAAAATGAAGTTAAAAGTTCTTAAATGCATATATTTGATTTACAGTTACATCAGTTGTGTGAGTCTAAAACTTGGTCTCCCATTCTAAAAGAAAGATATAGAGCACAGATCTTTAAGAACAAAGACCTGAGAATAATGTTCATTTTGAATGTGCCAGAAAGCTTATTGCTGTGTAATGTGAGTAGAATAGCACAAATCTGAATTTCATCCATCATATGTTCTCACCAGATCCAGCCGACACTTTGGAACTTTAAAAGTCAGCCTTCCTGTTGCTGACATCACATCTCTGAAGTTGAGTGGGGAGTAATAAATATGCACCAGTTCCCTACTTGGTTCCATCTGAATGCTGGAACATATTAAATCATACATAAATCTGATTCTCTGCATTTACTTGAGTCAAAATTATGACCATTTAACCTATCAGCTAATTTTATTTTATAATTACACAAGTTAACTGAATGTAACAAAAGTTCCTTTTACATGAATGTGATCCCTTATGTGATAAAAATCTACAATCCACATTTGAAGTCCCTCAAGTAACCTGATAGTCCAGAAGTAAGACACTGACCTCCAGAGTCCAAGATACTTGACAGAAACTGAACCAAACTTATGCTCTGTATCCAAAGCTGTGACCAGCAATAATATGCAAATTTGGCTCATGAGTTAATGACACCAGACTTGAGGCCACATTTTAATAGATCTGAATCCTACTCAAATCAATATAATTTTTATTGTTTCAAGAGATTAGGTTAGGTTTGGGAAGGTTCAATTAGATCAGGTTATGTCAAGGATTTGAAAGTACTGATTCTGGCTATATTTCACATGTCAAACATAACCACAAAGTTTCACAGTACAACCATGCTTCTAACTGGTAAGATATGTATCTATTTATTACTACACATAAGTTCAAGACCAAGTATCAAGTGATGACACCTCACATGTATGCATGTGCATGTCTACCAGGACATCATTACATTATTAATAAGAATGGGCTCCAATGGCACATTCATATTAAATTTAAAAATATTTAGTCAATTGTTTCAAAAGATAGGGAACACACTCACAGGCAGCATGGTGGTTTCATAAGTAAGAAAGTAACAAAAAGCTAAGAGAAACATATCCATATAAAATTTGTCCTCACTTAGTGTTAACTTTTAAGTTTGTTTATTTCTGGCCCCTTACACCAACAGTGAAATGCATAATATAAATTGAAAGCAACCACATTATTGTACAGAGTTGACCCATACTTGTCAGGGTCCAGATTCCCCTCCAACCATCTGAAGCTGGAGAGATCTCCTCGTCTCATGATCTTGACATAGGCATGTGGCACAGTGACAGTAGCACAGCTGTCCAAGGGGAGGTGTCGGTATGACCCCCACTTTCCATCAATGTATACATTGACAGCCAGATCTTTCCTCAGCTGTTGCCGGTAGAATGGTGAGTTAAGATCAAATGGGGGTGCAGAGGAATCAGGAATAAAGTAACACCTGAAAAAGATGTATGAAATGTTCTACTCTATTGTAACTTCTGAGTTCTTTCTTCTGCATATTGATATCATATCCTTTTAATTAGATTCTAATTATAGAGTTATTTTAAGTGATAAAGCAAAATGGCACATTCTGCAACTCCTAATTACAGTCTTAAAGATACTGAGGAAACTTAAAACATTAATATTCATTTGTACTTATCTACAAGACACATATTTAATTCAAACTTTGGAAACTCTTCAGCAAAGAGTTCAGGAGAAGCTGATACTCATTTAGCTGGTAAAAAAGTTCCATGCCTGTCTGGAACTCAAGATCCACTATGTTTACAAGAGCCTGCAACTTTAAGATAGTTTTTATCTAAACCAAATCATATCCACAGATTAAATATTGCATCAATGTTCAGATCCCATAAATGAGCTCAACATTGGCTAACACAAGGCATATTCTTCACTGGTAGAGAGAAAGGTCAAACAGGATGTCTCTTACCTGACAAAGTCACATCCAGGCTCCTTGCGGATACAGTTCACAAGACCCACAATGCCACTGAGTGGTTCACCCTGAGCTACAAGAATAATGTGACGTTTGGAGTTACTACCGATGGCAGTCTGTACTTGCGGCAGCCAATCATAGTTGTGAGTTGTTACATGGATCACAATTGGATTTTCCAAAACCACTCCCTGAAAAAGGCATTAAATGTTCCTTTGTCTCTTTGGTTTCGTTTAGAGACATATCTGAAACACCACTTATTTCTTATTACATTAAAATGAATCAGGAAGAACGTGGATGACAATGTACAAACTTCTAGGACATATATCAAGTTAGATGTTGTAATGTATCACTTTTTCCAGCATTTTAAAAACACAAATTGATATATATTTCATAGGTCACATTCATATGATTCGACTGAAAATTTGGTATACTAGGTGCAAGTTAGTTATTGATAAAAACTCTGACTGGTGCCACTACCTTCCTGAGCAAGAGCAACTTCTCATCCTTGAGAGTCTTCTCAAACACAACCTCGAGCCTGACGCCATTGGTGAACGTGGTCTTCGTTTCTGGTTTCTCACGAGTCAGGATGCAGGCCCCATCAGCCAGGGCACTTACAGCAGTCTGCAGCAGTTGTCCATGGAGCAGGATGTTCGAAGCGATTGCCAGTGTGCAGTTCTGCTCGGTCTCTAGTTCGTGCTCCTCGACCTTGATTCCCATTGTGTCCACATCTGCCCCCAATAGGGCACTCACCTTTGCCAGAATTGTTATGTCTGCCTGTAACACACATAATTCAATTATGCTCAGATGTTCCTATTTTCACTGAACTGTTTTGTATTTCTTTAAGTCACACGCTAATTTTTAATTTAGACTAATGAAGGAATGTTATTATCAGCTAACAGCATCTCAACACTAATCAAAAACACAGTAATTTGCTTATATGCAAAGTCTTGCACTGAATTATAGCCGTACACAATTATGACAGTATGTATTTCCCAAGGACTCGGAATACCCTTATCATAGAATCTTACCTTCCTTCCTGGTTTATATTTCTTGGTATCCTCAATACAGACTGTGGATAGGGTTGTAAACAGCTGATGACTATAAATTACCAAATTTTCTGAGCTACAAGATAAATCAAGGTTTCAGATGCAACATTTTAGGAAAAAATTCTACTGAAACTTCAGATTATAAGAAACACTCAAATTTTAGGCAGCACTTTCCAGGTGAAAAAAGTATGTTTTTGTCTCTGAAAAGTATGGTTAAGTGACTCTGCATCACACACTGCTACACCTGCCTTTATAAGTGGAAGGTCTGCAATGATGAGGGCCACAGCAGGAGAGAGGGGTGCGGTGCCTTCGCTCAGCAGCTCCACCACCTTTATGTTGGCGCCAGGCTTGTTCTCCAGAGTGATGTGAGTGCACACCCTCAGTGCGCCATGCAAATCAAGGTGAGCAGGTTCCACATTGGGTGTGAACACATATTTCTCAAGCACAGGGTTAGTCAGGACCTTGCGTCGCGCTATGACACTTGTTTTGAGTCCTTGCACTTCCACGCCTGCTGATTGGATGATATCCAACTCCTTGTACAAATGTACTGGAAGCACTGTCATAACAAGCGTCAATAATCACAGTAATTTAAAGACAAGAAACTGAACTGATATCAGGTGTAGGATGAACCACAAATTAATTGACACATTTCAAGTATTAGTTGTTAGAACTCAAAGGTTCAAAATTTCTAAGACGTGGACCATCACTGGACACATTCCTGTGGCAGTAGCAACCCATGAACACTGAAGGAAACCTATTTTCACACCTCAGAAGTCGATGGTAACTGTGTATACCACCTGGGTTCACAATTATAACAGTCCACATTGCTCGGAGTATATTTATGAATTTAACCTTCACTGTATGGGAACAGGGGACTCAAACCCCCATCCTACGGGACCTCTGTCAGTCTTGAACTCTTAACAGTTAATGCGATGGGCAGCAAGCTGGACTGTGTGTAAACTCTGACACAAGGACAATAAAGGCTAATTTTTTGTTCTCAGGATAAACAGCAAACATTTTCCAAAGGTCATTAAAATACCTCTATTTCTAACAGTGATGAGGTCTTAACCTGACAATTGTTTTCAGACATTTTCCTTTATCATGTTTCTTTTTGTGTGTGTGAGTTAAAAATGGCATTATGGAAGGAGACTCTTCCGCCATCATCAGGTACAAGTATAACGCCTCACTTGTTGGGTCTATTAAATGGAGCTAATTTCTATCCACAGTAAATTACAGATGTTTAAGTTACATACTGATGATTCCTGTGTCACATTAAGATTCTTTCACAGACTGATGGCATTTCTTCAATGAATAATAAGTGTTACAGAAAAGTTTTGTGACTCCAAGCATTCTGAATTACATCTTGGTGAATCCACAGCCATCAGTCAAAAATGTCATATACTAAATAAAAAGATGCTCCAACAGTTTTTATTCAGACACTCATATCATAAGATCTCCCCCCAAAACAACATATCACATTTCAGATCCATACAAAACAACTAGAGAATCTAATGTTTTACATAAGAAAAGTTAAAGGTAAGAAAAAGTGTAGCAAAGGTACTAAATGATACGTCGTGGTATATGACAGCTGAGTTACAAATTTAATATATCTACACGTGATGTTAGTATTAAAATAAACCACCTAACAACAAAAATGTGCACTGTTACCTGAAAGCTTCAGTTTCTTTTGTTATCCATCACATTGTATTGTGAAATGTGCTGCAGATCCCTAAAACTGACACTGGGTGCTAACACCACGAACCAAATAGTAAGACAGCATCACAAGCTTGTGGCTGTCCATTATCCAGGCAGACAGTATGATTCAGAATCTATCCAATCAACTCTTTCTAGTATTTGTTTATTAATAACTGGAGCATAGTTTCTGCCAACTTTGAGTTTTTTGACACATTTTATTCAACTCCAGACTCACAATATATGCAGAAATTAATAATGTAATTACAAAAATTAATAAAAAAAAATTTTGGTTGAGAATTTAAAGTTTTGGGTCCCTATATACATATTTACTGTATATACATACATATATACATTCAATGGAACCAAGAGATTAGTCACGGGATGTGGAATAAGTCATAAGTAAAAAGAATACAGGTGAGTAAAATTTGAAATAGTTATTGGGTTTCACGAATGACAAAGTTTTAACATAAGGTATGTTCCAGTTTGAAGCACAAATAATTTCTAAACACAGTCTATATAATTCATAACACACAGCCAGCTAAGAGAGTCGCATTAGTTGATTCACTTTTAAACAATTATTTCCTTATACCCTTTCCTCTCCTACATGGACCATAGGGGCCTCCTTTCAAACATTTCTTATCTATTTTTTTAGGCGCTTGATATGGACTTCTTGGACGAGTGATCAGCCATTCGCAAGGCCTCTACCAGAGACATGGGTTAGAAATGGCTACTGAATTTTACTTATGAAACATCTCATTCATGCTCATAAGGTTCTTTTACATACCATAAATCTATGACGTGGGACCACTGGCTTTACCACCCTTAAAAATCCATCAACTTCAGTTGAGTTTGAACCCGTGAGCCTTGGGTCCAGTGGCAAGCATGCTACTACCAGAACACCAAGGGAAACTTTTAAAAAATTATTACTGGTTAATACCGCCACAATTTATAGCCAATAAGATAGATATATTAAAACTAATCCTGTTGTTTGTATTGGCACCCACCATAGTTGTCTGCATAAACAAGACCACGGAAGAGTCCCTGGTGATTATATCCAGTGAGATGCAATTCCTTGTAGATATCTCGTGATGAAAGTACAAGCAACTCATCATTAACGAGTGGCTTGAGGGGCTCCAGGGATACCATTTCATGGGAGACGTCTGCAGGTACCCGCACCAAACCACTCACAACTGACGTATTTCCCTCCACTACCTCAAACTTCCCACTTGCTTTCTGAACCATGACAGTAAACTGAATGCTTCCTGCAAAGAAAAAATAAAATATAAATGTTATGGGTGGAAGATTTATAATACAAGTATTGGAATGTGTAATGACAAGATGGACAATAAATATTTTCTGGCTCAAAGAAATGTTGGGACTCACTTGTTAAATAGAAAGTTCAGTTTCTAGTGATAATGATACAGTTGGAACTACTTTGCTCAAACTGCTGTGTAAGGCTGAGTGGTCAATGATAAAGTTATTCTTCACGCTTGAATAAATGCTACAATAACCGCAAAAATCACATTTATAGTACATGCTTCTGTATTGCTGCCTAATGACTATATGGAAACATAGGGAA